AAAGCCTATCTCAGTTTTACTGATAAAAACAGAGGCAGTTTTTCATCAGTTTACCTAATCCCAGCCACAAAAAATACCACCTTGTTCTGCAAATAGCACGCAAAACTCCTGAGGGCCAGCTCCCAGACTCAACAGTGAAAGCCCCTATCAGTAGCCAAATACAATCTGAAACATCCTTGGGGGGGTGTAAAGCTTAGTTTATATTACTCTCTCCTTCTTACATAAATGTATTAATTATGACAACATGACCTAATGAGAATACATGACTAGGAAAATGATAGTAGGTGCTATATCAAAAATCATCTTTTGTACACTCTTCCTAGGGTTAAGCTTGCAACACTCCTGTTGCCACATCTGTGTCACTAGTTCCATATGTGGGACTGAGACCCCAGTCCAAAAGGGGAAGTTTGCCAGATTTAACAAAGAAAAATGCAAGCAGCATGAGCAGACTTGAATAACCAACAAAAAGTGAAAAAGAAACTTAAATAATCATGAGGGAATGACTCAAAAATCCAAGGGATGTGTGTGTGTGTGTGTGTGTGTGTGTGTGTGTGTGTGTGTGTGTGTGTGTGTGTGTGTGTGTGTGTTTCTATGTGTGTGTGTGTGTGCCTGTGTGTTTGAGAGAGTGAGTGTGTGTGTGTTTGTGAGTGTGTGTATCTTTGTGTGTATCATGCATCTACATAGACATAGGCATAACATATTTTTAAGGGATGAGGGGAATAGATAAAATTAAATGGAGGAGGGAAAGAAGGAAGGGAGAAGGGGGCTATATGAATAAAACAGTTAAGAGTATCAATTGGCTTTGGAGAGAAGCATCCACCTTTTCATGTTTCTGATGGCGGATGTCCTTCTGTATATATATATTTCTCTTATGGGTTAATGAATAAAACACTAGCCATAGCCAGGCAGGAAGATAGGTGTGGATACCAGACCAGGAGAAGGCTGGGGAGAAGAAGGGAGGGTGAGGCCGCACAAGAGACACCATGCTGCCCAAGGAGTAGCATGAAGGATTATGGGAAAACCACATCCTCATGGCAGTACATGCATTAATAGAAATGGGTTAATAATTAAGATAGACGTAAGTAAGTAAGTAGGGCCAGTAAGAAGCCCTAGCCAGCAGTTTAATAATATAGCGTCCATGTGTTTATTGGGGGCAAAGCAGCTGTGGGACCAGGCAGGACAGAACCTCCATTTTCATGTTTCCCATTGGGAACCTGTGATATCCCAAGAGCGAAGTACGCATGCTAGAAACATTTTATGATATTTATCATAGTCGCTAATAATTCTGCTGAGAGATGATCAAAGCCATTCCAGTGCAGATCTGCACAACCATGTGCAAGGTAATAAAATGGCAGGGAGATTTTATTGACACTAAAGTATACTTCTATGATGTCCACAGCATCACAGGAAATAGACGGAAAGTAAATCCCTCTTGATTGACTGAATAAAATACTTCACACATAGATGTCTTCACTTTTTCAATTCCTGAATCATTTTTTTTATGGTGAAACAGGACAAATATAAACTAACTTGATGATGATAATACTTCTAGTATCCTTGGATTTCTACTTTCCTATTGTCAGTAAACTTCAAAACAACTTTCATGTAATTCTACTGGTGCTACAGATCTAACTCACTTTCATGCTTGTTAGGCAGTGATATGCTACCAGGCTATGTCTATAGCTCTTCATTAGAAAATAGATATAGTAAGTGTTTTTGCAATTCACTTCAACAAATTAAATTTTCATGTAGAGAAATAACGGGTGATTAAATTCACATAGTAAAGCATTAGTGTTAACTCTGAGGCCGTCTAAAATATTTTGGCCTCCTTGTGACTCTAACCTAATACACAGTCAATCTATCTTAAAAGGGCTTGTTCCTTTTACAACGGCAGAAAAACTCTGCACATAGCTTACTTTGGTAGAAACGTATTTGTTAGAAACTTAGCTGAATTTAAGAGTGGAGAAAGTTTGAGTTTACATAATCAGTCTATTTCTTTAAAACTACTCTGGGAACATAAAGGTCAGTGTCAAGGGTCTGGAGTCAGCTTCACTCCACAGAAGCTAACGTCAGCCAGTGTTTCTTCTAGAGTACACTCTATTGAGATGGAGTTGCTATTGGGATTTTCCTGATTCCTCAAAAGCAATCTTACTAAAGTTTAATTTAAAAAATGAAAAAAAATTGAAAATAGCTACATGATTATGAAAACAGCTAGTAACTCTGACCCATAGTACAAATTGCTGAGGTGAACAGGAGCCTGGTAAATATGCTTGAGAGAAAACACTGGTGAAAGAAATATACTCTCAGTCCTCTGGTTTAACTTAGAAGGGACAGGAAGTTGCAGGATTCTACAGATAGCATCTATTTGTTCCCTCCACGCATATTAGTAACCGTCTTGTTGCTGTAACAGCATACCTGGCAAAAGCCTTTTGAGGAAGGATTTATTTTGGCTCATGGTTTGATGGCACAAGCCATCATGACAGGGTCTAGCAGTGGTGGCAGTGAGAGAGAGCTGATACATTGGGTCCACAGTCAAGAGTCAGAGAGGGGCGAATGATGGGATTAGGATTAGCTGGCTTCCTCCTTTTTATTCAATCTGGTGCTGCCCATATTCAGGGTCAATCTTCTGTCCTTTAAATTTCTCTGGAAACTTCCTCACAGACAGCCCAGAGATGTTTCCTCTAGGTGATTCTAACTCCATCAAGTTAAGAATGAAAATTAACCATTACTCCCAACCCCCAGGCTAGGCCTGCTTCTCCTGGCCAGTTCACCCCAGAGCTACAATAGAGCTAGTTCTACCTCTTTGCTCCTTGTAACAAGCCCAGGACAAACTCCTTGGGTCGCTATGGAGTGAACTCTGTTTAAGCCAAGGAAACAACGTTTTAAGTAGCCGAGTATCTAATGTAGTATTTCTTCATTTCTTTTTTTTTAATAAAGATTTTATTTATTATGTCTTCTGCCTGCATGCCAGCAGAGGGCACCAGATCTCATTCAAGGTGGTTCAAGCCACCATGTGGTTGCTGGGAATTGAACTCAGGACCTCTTGGAAGAACAGTGTACTCTTAACCATTGAACCATCTTTTCAGACCCTATTTCTTCATTTCTTACTTCACTTGTTTTTATAATGGATTTTCATTTCTCATTTTTATATATATATATATATATATATATATATATATATATATATATATATAGAGAGAGAGAGAGAGAGAGAGAGAGAGCTATGCTCCAAAATAAATGAGTCAACCTTATTTAAAAAAATGTATTGTTATATACTACTGAGCAAAATACCTAGCCTTTTCTGTGGGTTGGGACTGCTGCTTTAATTTTTCCTTTGTGTATTTTTCTCTCTTTTCTAAAAAGCTTTGAGCTATTTTTACAATCCTGAAAGAAAATAATAATCCAGATAAACAAGGTTAACATTTGAAGTGTTATAAATATTCAAAATTCCTGGACAGAGAATACATTAATATGAAATAAATTATTGTAAGTGGGACTCACTTCAGCAAGAATGGTGAGGCATTTGGTGGTGACCCTCAATTGATTGTAACTAAAGTAAAGTATACCTGCTACACACATGCATATCTCTGGTTATTGTGGAACTGTAGTGGAGTAAATAGTAATTTTCAAGAGGATTTTCAATTTCAGAACGTATCATCAAGCAGTCAGTTCAGGGTCAAGTTCTGTCGAGTTTATTTATAGTTACATGGTTTATCCCATATCGCCCTACAAGAATAAATAAATGTAACACTTGGCAATGTAAGTCATCGTGCATGAGTGACCCCTTGCAGATGCTAAATCAACAGTCAGATTTATTTTATTTATGCAGGAGTTTAATTTTAATTGTTGGCATTGATGTCTACTTCTTGCGTGAGGTCAGGAAAGCCTTTAGGTTCTAGATCATGGGAAGTCTTAGGTGAAGGGAAGAGAGCTACCAGAAAAGCAACCTGGATTCCACTCCTAGTCTGTTATTAGCAAGGTGTGTAACTCACTTGGTCTGAGTCTCTAGTCCCTCTGCAGAGTAGGAGGGACCACAGTCCTGTTGGATGCTGCCCTGCCCTGGGAAGAGAAGATGCTCCCCTGCCTTGAAAGAGAAGATGCTGCCTTGCTCTGGGAAGAGAGTTTAGACAGCAAAGTCTAGCTGCAGCAGACAGTGGTATTTGAATACTTTCTACGAAGACAATTGTCTTTAATTGAACAAAGGGTATAAGAGCTGAAACATTGTCAAGATATCCAAATATTCAAAAGAAAATGCAATGAAACAGAAGAAGATACTTAATTGTACAGGAGTTGGTGTTTTGCTCAAACTCCCCACAATTAATGTTTATGACTTTGAGATGAGCTAGAGTTTCATTGGCCCATCTTCCAAAATCTTAAATTTGCATTTCACTGACCTGATATGCCTCAAACCCCCACAGAACACACCGTATGGTGATATCTAGAAATCAACGAAGCAAATTTATTATGTCCAAATTTAATGACTTGAAGTGCAAAAAAAAAAAAAAAAAACACTCTTCCTAGTTATTCTGTAGGCAAGTATTTTCTGAGAAATATTATACATCTTCTTCTTTCTAGTACAAGCTGTCTGAAGTTAACCTTCTTGCATGTTGTAAACATCCTAAGAGAGGAGTAAGTGATGCCTGAGTAAGAAGAATTCAAGAGAGCCTCTGCTATTTTCTCCAGGGTCACAAATTTGATACTGCTGAAGGATGTCAATCCATTCGGCCAAAAAAAATCAAATAATTTTTGTATACATCGTGTTATTTGAACCATTGCTCATTGCAGCAACGGAGGGCCAAGCACCTCAAGAATTGACGCAGGACATGGGCCACCTTGTTACCACACTGGCTGCACTTATGTCTCCTTCCTCTCTCGTGACTTTGTTCTTTAAATTACCACAACATTAAATTTTCAGTTTCCAGTGAGCTAGAGGATATAAAGAAGTGTACATAGGACCACTTATATGATACAATAATCCTGACCTGTTTTTCTCATGAATCTTCAGAATTTCGTTTGTTTGTTGGAGAAGTTGCTTCTCTAGCTTGTATGTTGATAGTGAATTCTCCAGTAGCTGTATTTCAAGTCGAGATGTTTGATTTAGTACCTGGGGACAGATTTAAAAATCACATTTCAAACACAAAGCAAGTAACAGGGGAAAAAAGTGAGCATTTTGAACATCATTTTTGTTCTTAGTATTTTTCAAAAGGGCTTAAGCATATGGTGCCCAATCTACAGTGTATTATAAATTGATATTTAATTGGAGGTGAACTAAGTTCATTTGCATACTCCAATTTTTATACCCTTACATACTAGGATATTTTACTGTGCTCGTTTCATATATTTATCTCCAACATTTACAAGTGCAAAATACATTATTTATACAAGGTCTTGATAGTACAGGTCATTTAGAATAACTAAGGGATGTATAAAACAAACCTTACTGAGACTTAACACCTTACTAAATCCAATTGGGAACACAAACAACTCTTAAAATAATCTGGAGGGACTTCTGACCACACAGTTATTGGATCGCTATTATGACAGAGTTTACCCAAGACAACTTGCATGTATTACCTCACTTAATTGACAGTATCAACTGTTGGTCTTGCCACTTTATGAACGAAGAAGACACTGGAGTCCAGAGTATTCAAGATCTCAGTTTCTAACCAGAGACTTTGAGTCTACATATTAAAAGGAATCTAAATTTTTTTTTTCAGTATCAGTATCAGGTAGGTGCTGCTCTAAAACTGGCATCACTGCGGTACCCCCATCCCCACTGTGGTAGGATTAAAGCCTGGATGGATCTGAACCTTTTGAAGGCACACTGAAGAGTTTGAGTTGAGCCATCCCTGCAAGGAAAAGGAAAAGGGGCTGTGTGTTTGTACCAGGAGGCCAGAGAAGGGACTAGGTCAGAGGGGAGAGACAAAGGCCTCAAAGGCAAAATCTAAAGAAAGGCTCCTTCCAACCTCAGCAACCAAGTTTAAGTACATGTTATGCATTTGCAGATTATTCCTGAGTAGAAGGTTTTCTTTTAACTCTAACACATTCCATAAACATTAGATGCGATTATTATGATTCGTTCTTGGAGTGGCTTCAAGTCTGTAAACATGAAAACTTAATAAATAAATGAATCATAGCAAGTTAAGTATTTTAAAATGTGCAAGCCTCATCTTACCATTTTCCCTCCCTCCTCATCACCTCATTCCTCACTAGGCTAGAAAGAGGGCAAGGTGAGTAAAACCACATGGGCCTGGACTATACACTTGCAAGGACTGTGTCTACAGTGAAGTTACTTTTCTGCTCCATTGGGGGTTTTCAAATGCATTGAAAAAAGGTTTTTAATAATGAATTTTCCTGGACACATTGGAATTCAGTGATTGTGATAGTATATGCAAGACCTGCACAAGTTCAAGACAAAGTCCCAGCACAGAGGGAGAAAAATAGCCATGAAACCACACACGA